GATAAAAATGCAGGCGGAGGGTGGTAGGAGCCGTATTTGTCGTAGTCATAAATTGATGCTCAAAACGTCAGTTAAAAAAAAAATCAGATGAAATATTGACATTGCATGAAAAATGAGAAATTGCAAACATGCGCCGCACATCCCTCCCGTAGACCACCGTCATCGAGTAAGTGCCTAGATCCTGCATTATTTACTCTAGTTGTCGAGGAGAACAAAGAGGCAACGAATCAACACACATCGAAAAGGCCTCAACAAAGCAGGGGGCTTGGATAACAGAATGTCGACAAGCTACAGCAAAAGACGTCTTACTTTTTGGAATAATTGCTTACGAGCTCGGCCCTGCTCCCAAACTAATCCTCCCTGCGTACAATTACGAAGTATGACAGCCGCTCCGGCCGCCGCTGTTGGCGCTCCTTTTGGCAATGGCTTTCCCTTTTCCCCTTCCATCAAAATGAGCAGATCGACGAATGGAGCAATACTGCATATGCTGTGGCCGAAACAGGGGACGGCCAGCTAACCGTTAAGATTCGACGTCGTGGCATGCTCCAAATTCCCTCTTCGTTTTTGGTCCTTTTCATTTTTTTCCCGCCTGTCCCACCAGCCACCTCGAAGACCACACTAGCCCACAACTATTCCACCTTCAACCCTTGCAATTGATCTCCGACATGCATACTACATGCGACTGATGTATGCACAACGACGATTCTGTCGTTTAGTTTTTTTTTTTTTTTTTTTTTTTTTTTTTTTTTTTTCGTCTGGCAGGCCTGTAGTATCTCATGTTTTTTTTATTTCACGTGGCACTCACTAATTACGCTAGGGGATGTGCGTTGAAACATGTAGTTGTCAATGTCGAAGTCGAATGTTTTGGTCAAACTTGTTCTTCCTGCGGCAAAATTCTGCACCTCGGGGCAATCACTCGCGTGTTTTATTTTTATTTTTTTATTTTTATTTTTTTTTTGTCTCGATACTCTCAGCTCCGAAAACTGGCCAACAAATTTTGTGTCACGCTCTTGTCCCGCTTTTTGCCTTTTTGTCCTCCTCCTCCTCCTCCTCATCATTCTTCTTCTCTCGCCTGCAGGCACCCTATCACGTTTGCACGTCTCAGCTCAAGGATTTTGTCACCGAAAGGACACAGTTTGCGCGGCGTACAACAATTACCAAGTAGGGAATACGAGGGTTCAAAGAAGGGCGTATGTAAATTGTACACAACAGCTAATACCGTGGTTTTTGTCAGCCTGCAGCACCTTCGTAATGACCCGTTACGGACTCCGTGCAAGTCGTGGGCCAGTGATCGACATGGGCTTGCAGACAACCGGCAGTCGAAACATAATGACCGACCGGGCTTTGGCGTGATAGACCGCTTGACATGTGTGACATGCTTGGGCTGGTCCTGCAGTTCTATGTATGTCTTGATTTTACTCGCTGGAATACGCTCATGCACCATGCAATCGTTAGTCTTGTCTCATACTGTGGGGCTCTACGGAGTAATACTGGAAGAGAAAAAAAAAAAAAACCAAGCCGACAGGAATGCCACGAAAAGTAAAGGAAGCGGAAAGTACTCCGTACTCCGTAGAAAAGGGGCAGGTTAAAGAGAAAGAACATAAAGATAAAAGAAAGAGGACACAGAACGCCCAAGAGCGTTGGTTGGGCTGAGGACCAATTGGGCGTGTATCGATATTCCCGTGACGGCTCGAGCCGTTACAAGTCTCCTTTCTGCTAATGTAAAACGAATCAATGTTACAGTGCACTACATGGCAAGATAAATAGAGAATAGACAAATACAAAGTATGTTGTACGACTTGACCATTTCGACTAGGCTAGCCATACTTGACCACAAACTACCATTTATTTCTACTATCTGTCGATATATAAGAGGATAGAGACAGGTACAAAAAAAAAAAAAAAAGAAAGAAGAAGAAGAAAAAGATAGAGAAAGAGAAAATATGGTTATGGAAGCCGAACGACTTTTATTGACCTGGAAATCGGACGGCGTCGGTTTCTGGGCCTGTAATAGTGAGTTTTGTCGTAATTTCCATATTTTCTTATATCAGGGCAATTAAGCTCACGAAACGTACAATGTGACCCTGATTTTAAGTACTCCGTATGAAGTACAGCCTCCATATATCATACCACGTCTCCGCTCATTGCTTCTTTCCGGATTGTACCACAGGACAGTAAGATGTGTCCAGGATGCAGTGCAAGCTCTCTCAGTAAGCTGTCATCCGAGCTGTCCGATATAAGCTGGACTCAATGAAATTAAGACAGAGAACACGAATACGACCGGCCTCCTTTGGCTTCTTCCTGTAAAATAAGCACAAAACATGCATTCCTAGAATCATTGCTTCGTAAGGCTGTTGGGTTTGTGGCTGTACCAAGAAGTTTTTGCAAAGTTATATCAGTCCGGCGTTATTATTATGCAGCCCGTCCCAGACATTTATTCCTGTACAATAAATAGTATCCGGACAAACGCTGCAAGATCAACACTTAGCTGAGTATCATAAGAAACATCAAGAAGCGCAGAACAGGGGCTTTTTATCCTCTTCAGCGTTGACGGGGAAGAATCTCCCTGGTCTCGGGGATTGGATTGGAAATTGTCAGCGATACGACGTAATTATCCCACTGTAACGCTGGCAGCATTATATGTTTCTTTGGATATGGGACCAACCTGCACTGCGCCCAAAACAGCAAACTTTCTCTGGCATGGCCCAAAGTAATCGACTCAAAATATGTTGTACAGCGGGTGCAGTGCGATGTCGTGGGTGGAAGACAAAGATTCAATCACGATGCTGTAATGCAAGACGTCGTAATCCGTTTACCGTGATACGCCGGCACTCTAGGTGAATCCCAATGTCACATGGCGCAGAAGGAAAAGGGAGCAAGCTGCCGTAGAGGATTTAACTTGAATGTACGGCGTAACATTTTGGTCAGTGCTATCAGGATTCGAAGAAGAGGACGAGGTCTGCCGGAGAAAGCGCCATTTGGTATCCTTGACAGAAACTGCAACCCCAAAGGAACCACATTGTGGCGAACCATGGAACGAGCACACGTGTAACTCCCAGATGCTCAGCGCAATCTTTCTAGACGCCTCCACAAAGCACATGTGTTTATTACGATACGCGTATGTACAGCGCCACGGTCCAAACTTGGACGTGAAAGGTAGTATTCGGACTGCCTTGCACGTGTCTCAACAAGACCGCAATATCTGTTAAATATTAACTCAGCGTGATATATGCCTCTGTTTGGACAATGAAGACAGGTCGTTGGGAACAAATAGGGAAATATGCTGCAATCTAGCGGGACCCATTCACCGCAATTTTATCCCATCAAAACCGGTCCGTTCATTGCAATCATTCTTTGCCTCTACGGGCACCTCTATGGAGTATCGGATGTAATAACAAACCCCTATACCCATGTCCGATACAAGCCCACGCGGCAAAGGGATGCGATTCTGCAGAACGAGCGGGAGAACAAAGTGAATTTTGTTAGAAACGAGGTGCGAATTGTGAGCTGGACGCCCGACAACGGCCTTGTGACATGATAGGACTCTGTTCCGTATACCCCTCCTGGAGAGCTCACTCGCCCTGTAACGACGATATCCAGAAAAAGTCTTTGTACATCCGTACAATATCCTACTCAATTTATTCGTCTCTGGCCCGCCTGTCTCCCAGAATTTTTAAAGAGCCTGTGTAATAACCTGCGGCTCCCTTCCGCGTCCCCTGTACATCCGGCCTTGAGACTTGGGCCTACCAATGCAGGGTCTCTCGCAAAAACCTTTCGCCTGTACGGAGTACATTTTGTACTCTGCGTAATTTTAGACAGAAATACGATGTACTCTACTCCGTTCTACTCCGTGTCTTGCCAATATGCATGCACCGCGGCAGGTGCCTAACCGGCCGTTGGTTGGGGTTCTCCCCCTATGGCATAATTGTCGTTTTCCGTGAACCAGGCCACCGTCTTCACGTACACAATTACCGACAGGAGTCGGGGGAGAACAACACGGCTGGCCGCGGTCCACGGTATATGTATGTCATATAATCAAATAATGTAGAACACGTTATGTAAACCGCGTTCTAAAAAAAGAGTCGCAGGACCTAATTGTGCATAAGTATTGGCCACCAGTTGTAACCGCATGACTGCCGTTATCGTTGAATATGTCTGTGGTAACGGGGCTCCGAAGCGTTTGTATGATTATAAAATCAATGGACATGTCCTACTTGCCTTTACTCCTCCCATTTTTAGGCAAAGGAAAAGACAGTGATGTCCTATGATATTAGTTTTGTTCCCATTGGCCACGCCTTGTCTTATGACGTTATTCATTTATTTGTTTGATTTCATAAGATTTTTCACAGAATAATAATGAAAGCAAAGAAAAAACAGTTTCCAGACTATCATGTTCGTAAACCCCTGTAAAAAAGTGAGTTCGTTATCCGGAGATGTTCAAAATCAGACTGAAAAAGCATTGCAACAATTCAAACCTCAATGTGTCGTTGGCCCGTTTTCTTACGTTTCCCGCCTGCGACGTTGTCCATGTTGGTACATCATATCACAGTAAAAATCCGTACCACGCATATCAATTGGTGGCCCTATCCCATCCCGTTTCTCCTACTGTTTCCGACCCGAGCGTTTCGTCCGATGTCTTCGAGGCCGCGAACCAAGAAAAGACTGACAAAATGCCGAGAATGAGTCACGTGACACAACACGTCCCATGTTTTGGGCGTGCGTCCGTGTGCTTCTAGAGTGTTTCAACATCAAAGCGTTCCAGGAGACAGAGAGTGGGCACAGTGTTTCAAAGGCCAAAGGAGCTTCGCAATTGGACCATCGACTGAATTCTGGAAGCATATGGCCGCACTCGAGGGCTATTGTTTCGTAGTATTTGTATCGTGAACGTCAGTTTTCATCGACTTTATTTGCCCCTTTTCCATCTCTCTTTGCCTTTCGCACAATTAAATCGTCTCGACATAAAACAGGAAGGCACCAAACTCCAAACGTCAAAAGCAGCCATGGACGAAGCAGATAGCCGCCTCCTCATGGGGCCGGAGCCGTCGGTGTTGGTCTCTGTCGTCCAGGCGCTCTCCGACCCGAACTCGCTGGTTGTGCTGCTGGTCACGCTGTTCGGCTTCTTGCTGCCCATGTTGTGGATTTATCCGCCGGTGGCGCCACGACCAAGCGACTTTTTGAACGAAACGCACTCCCAGCTGCGTGTGGACGAGAAGAAGGAGGACAAGGAGGACGAAAAGCGCCAACTACGAAACAACGGCGGCATGGCACCCCGCATCGACAGCTTGTGGGTGTATCCCGTCAAATCCTGCCGGGGTATTCAAGTGTCGCGCAGCCGAGTCCTGCCGACAGGTCTGGAGTTTGACCGGCTTTTCACGTTGGCCCAGCTTGCATCGCCGTTTCCAGCGCGTGCGGGCACAGAGCTTGTTGCCAAGACCAAGACGGGCAGACATGGCAACGGCAAGGACAACGGCAACGACGGAGCCGAGGCAGACGACACGTGGGCTGCCATCGACCGGCACCAGTTCCCGATGCTCGCCACGCTGCAGGTTGAGCTGTGGCGCCCCGACCTGGCCAAGGTGCGTCGCGCCCAGGCTCGCATGCGTGCCGATGACCGCGCCGAGCGCACCGCCTCCATGAGCGAGCTGTACGTCGTCGTGCGCTACCCGTGGCAGGCCACCGGCTGGGTGGGCCGCTGGGACTGGTTTGCGGCCAAGCTGGCGCGCGGCTGGCGTTCCGTGCCCGAAGTGGAGGTCGTGTTGCCGCTGGCCTTGCCTGTTGCGGCCGACAAGGCGACTGCAAAGTATGGCCACGTGAGAATCGACGACACCAGAACCCAGGCACTGGACGTATCGGCCGAGCTGCCGCGCTCGTTGCAGCTGTATCTGGGTGTAAGCAACCGGCTGGGCCTGTTCCGTTGTGAGGTCGACCACCCGGTCCGTCTTCGTACCAAGAGCCATCTACGAGCAGCTGAGGCAAGCACTGCAAACGTTGAACAACTACCAGATGCCGCCGGGCGGCAACTATGTGCAAATATTGTTGGTATGTTGTCCCTCGCAAAGGCACAACGTGTCCATTATGTGCAGGGAGCAAATAGCCGACTAACAATATTTTCACAGTCCATGGCATGCAAGCAGACGACGAGCAAAGGTACGCTATATCCCACGAAACGATGGTATTTCACATATAACACACCTCTAACAGTTGGTCGTTCTAGTTGGAAGCGTCTTTCATTCAAGCCAACACCGGTTTCAAATCAATTGCTGGACGAAGCCGTATTCGATATCATCCCAGCCACTGCCACCGAAGGCTTACCAATAGAAGAACCTTTGGACTTACGGCTGACGCCCGTGTTTGAGAATCCAGACAAGCCGGAGCTAATGGAATTGACATTGGAAACAGGCATGTCTGTCCAATGTATCTGACGACTTGGTGGACAGCTTATGGCCCGGCTTCATGAAACTACTAATGACAAGCAAAGTCCCATAGAAATAGGTCTCCATATCCCAAAGAAGGCGATGAACATTTCATAGTAATTGCATAGTGGATTATCATGAGCAAACGTGGTAAAAACAAACTAAAATTCAAAAAGAAACCATATACAAAAAACACCATCCCAGCCTGTATCCTATTGTCCGCCCTAAATCACCGGAATGCAACCAAACGCAAGAAGAATGCAAACGCTCATTTTACAAAGCAATCGCCATCACACCCGCCGTCGGCGATGACACCGAGCACCAAGTAAGCCGCCTACCGTAAATCGGCGGGCGTCAGAGCCTGCACCATACTGGTGCCCTCGCTGAACCGTGTCCGGAAGATGCGGTTGGCGTTCTGGAACATGCCGTCCTTCAGCGAGACAACGATAAACTGCGAGCCCTTGAAGCGCGTCTTGATCAGACGACCAATATTTTGTGTGTGAGACAGATCCAGCGCAGCGTCCACCTCGTCCAGAATGTACATGGGCGCTGGCTTGAACTGCAGCAGCGCCATGATCAGAGACAGGGCAATCAGCGACCGCTGGCCGCCACTCAGCTCCGTCAGGCTTTGCTTCCACACCTTGCCCAGGCACACCTTGACCTCGAGGCCGTCGCTGATCGTCTTGCCCTCGGGCGGGTCCAGCTTGGCGAAGCTGCCGCCGGGCAGCAGCTCAGAGAAGATCTGGCCAAAGTCGGCATTGACCTTGCTCCAGGTCTTGTGCAGCGCCTTTTTCTTGTAATCGTCGAGGCTGATGATGGTCTCCTCAATCTTGCGCTTGTCGCGGATGACCGTCTTCATCATGTGCTTGAGGCCCACCTCTTTCTTCTCAACGCTGTCGATCATGTTCATGACCTTGGGGTTGATCTTCTTTTTCATGCCCTGGAACCGCTCCGTCAGGTTGCGTAGCGTCGCTTTGCTCTCGCCAATGTTCTGGCGGTGGAAGTCATATGGCGTGCCTGGCCGTCCAAACTTGTCCTTTTCGTCGGCAATCCACTCGTGGTCGGCCTCCATGTCCTCCGCCAGCTTGGTGGCGTTTTGCTTGTCTTTGTGGAAGCGCTCAATGGTGTGGCCGAGCTTCTGCAGCTCGAGGCCCTCCTCAGTAATGCGGGCGTTCTTGCTCCGTGTTGCCTGGTCGAGAGCGCGCAGCTCGTCATCATAGATGCTGAGCTTGGCCCGCTCGTCCTGCAGCTGGGCCTGCGCGACGTCGTGCAGGTCCTTGACAGATGCCTGCTGCGTGTCCAGCTCGCTAAGCTCCTCCTGCTGGGCCTTCATGGCAAGATCGATCTCTTGGAGTTGTTCGCGGGCGGCCGCAAGATCGCCCGAGGCCTGTTCCGAATCCAGCTGCGCGCCCTGGAGCTCCTTCTGAAGGGCTTTCATCGCAGTTGTGTTCTTTGTGAGCTGGGCCCGGAGTTTGTCCAGAGCCGCCTGCAGCTCGACAAGCTTGCCGTCCTTGTTGTTGTCGAAGTCCTTCATGTCCTTCTCAATGCGCTTGACGTCGGCGCTGGCCTCAGCTTGCCGTTTCTTGGCCTCGGCGGAGTCTGCCTTCAACTGCACAATCTGCTCCTTCATATTCTCAACCTCCTGGATGATGGACGACGATGAGTTGCCGCTGATCTGCTCTTGAGCTAGCTTAATTTCGTGGGTCTTCAGATCAAGATCACGCTTGATGTGGCGTGCCTGATCGAGCTTAGTCTTCTCGCGAGCAATCGTAGCCTGCAACTCCGCCAATGTGGACTCGGCCTCCTGCAGCTGGCGGTTGATCTCGTTCAGCTTCTGGAGAGTCACCAGGACGCCGCTCGAGGTCGGCGCACTGCCACCGGACAGCGTGCCAGAGGGATCGTATGCATCACCTTCCAGCGTAATACTCCGCATGCGGACATTCGGATCAAATGTCACCTTCTTGGCAGTTTCTGCGTCGGCGCACACCAGTGTGTTGCCAAACACGTACTCCATGGCAGCAGATACCTCGTTATCATAGCCAACAAGCGACAGAGCCAGGTTGACCTTGCCCGGGGCAATGTTCTGGGCCGTGGCAACGGTTTCCGCTTGCGCCCGGAAGGCAGAGATTTTGTTGAGAGGGATAATTGTGACTCTCTTGCGGAGCTTACCACCCTGCAGAAGCTGGGTACCGGTGACCTCGGTATCCACAACGACATTGTACAGACGGCCACCGGCGCAGATTTCCAAGGCAGTACCGGCGTCGGTGTGCTTCTCGTCCAGTGTGAACAGCTGTGCCACGAGACCCTTGACCTTGGACCGGTCAAATTTGGGCACGGGGTCGGAATAGTTGAAGTCGATGTTGGCAACTTTACGCTTGAGAGTATCGGATTGTTGCCGCAGGCCACGGATTGTCTGCTGAAGAGTGGACTCCTCCTTGTACATCTCCTCCTCCGCACCGGGGCTGAAACCGAGCTTGCCAAGTTCCTTTTCGAGCTTTTGTGACTGCGACTTGAGGCCCTCAATGTCTTTCAGCAGGCCTGCATTCTGTTCCTTGGCCTTCTTGGCTCGTGGCTCCTCCTCTTTAATGCGCTTCTCGAGATGAGCGACCTTGATTTTGGCTTGCTCTTGCTCGGTGACGGCCGCCGTGACGCGGCTTCTTGCGTCCTGAAGCTGACCCTGATAGCCGTTTTCTTGGCCATCCTTGGAGGCGACACCTGTCTGTAATGTCTGAAGCAGCTCCTCCTTTGTCTCGGCTTCTTGGCTCTGCCTTTCGAGGTCGTCTTTGGCGGCGTCAAACTTGGTGCGAATCTTCTCGAGTGCCTTCGTCTTCTCTTGCAGCGCGGCCTCAAGTTCAGTGACGCTCTTCTCGCCCGCTTTCCGCCGGTCCTGCTCCTCGGCCATGCTGGACCGCTTCAGGTCCATGACGGTGGCGAGACGCACAAGCTCGTTCGAATGCTTCTTCACTGACTCCTCTAGCGCCTGCGCCTTGGCGCCTTTCTTCATCTCCTTCTCGCGCTGCGTCCGAATGCGGTTGGCGTCTTCCTCCAAATGGGAGATCTCGCTTTTGAGGCGCACGGCGGATTCTTCGAGGTCGCTCTGGCGCTGCTTCTTGGCCTCCAAATCGGAAGCCGACTGCTGCAGCTTTTCTTGGCAGCGAACATAGTCGTGTGCGACAACGAGCCGCGTCAGGCGCTCGAGGTCGTTCTGTGTTTGTTGGAAGTCGAGGAAAGCGCGCTTCTCCATGCGCAGTTTCTCAAGTTTCGGTTCAATCTCGTCGCGCAGCAGCTCTGTAATCTCCTGCAGCTTCATCTCCTTCTTGGCCATCGTCTTCAGCGCCTTGTCCCTCCGATCCTCGAACATGCGCGTGCCGGCGGCCTCCTCGATCATGGCGAGAATTTCGACGGCTTTCATGTTGAGGACCTTGGTGATACGACCCTGCATAATGAGGAAGTTTGGGTTGTTGATGTTGAGCTGAACGGACTGGAAAAGGTTCTGGACCGTCTGCTGCTGGGCACGGTGGCCATTGATTAGGTACTTGGACGTGCCGCCCAGCACGATCTGGCGCGTGACACTGATGGTGGCGTACTCTTCGAAACCGATGGGAGATTTCTTCTTGTCGCGGTTGTCGAAGACGATTGTGACGCTGGCCTTTGTCACACCTGCTTGGCCGCGCTTGTAAATAAGATCCTAGAACGAGACAGATGTTAGTTATGCCATGTCGCAAGGTGCTGCCTGTTTGCCAAGCACGCGCTCCCGCCCTTCGGTTCGCAGTCTCTTCACATACTTGCAGGTTCTGCGCGCGAACCGTCGACATGTTGGTGATACCCAATACGAAGCAAATGGCATCAAGAATATTGGACTTGCCACTGCCGTTCAGTCCCGTGATCGAGTTGAAGCTCTCGTCCCTGTGCAACGAGATCCAGATGTCAGTTTTTGGCCCTTGCCACTACTTCTACCGCAAATGGACTTACCATCCTGAAATCACCGTTCGGACGGCATACGACTTGAAGCCCTGTTTTGCGGCACGCCGGTGTTAGTACAGATGCGTTTTGAATATTCTGGGCAGCGCAGCCAGCCACTTACGTCGATAATGACTTCTGTTACTCTCATCGCGGCGGATGGTGTGGGATGCGATCTCAGCGTGCGTGTCACAGGTGAGGTCTGTCGTGCTGTGTCGTCGTCGTCGGCGGTGTCGGCACTGGAGAGGTTGGAATCTCAAAAGCGTCACCGCTTTTGCCGATTTTGCGGTGATGTAAACAAGGCTCGCGATTGGTAGGCGCGGGGAACGCGTGTTTGCAAACACGCGGATAGTAGCTGGGGCAACTGCGATCAGCACCACAACAAGGATTACATAATAATCGTATTTTGACACGTGACTACATTTGGCGTCCTAGTCCTCGAAAGATTCGCGTCCGCCCGAAGGGTACTAGCGTTATCGATAAGCTAGATTGCCGCCCGAAAATTTCTGTTACTGTTGGTACATCGCATTGCGAAAGACAATTCTCAGGCTACTTTCCTCGTTGTGTTTTTTTTTCTGCCATCCACGCTTCGTCTTCAAGTTATCGTATTGACGTGCAGCATCGTTTTCGCATTTTGCACTTGACAGATTTCTCAACTTTCCCGAAGCAATTTATATCGGCGTCGAATACAACCCTTCAATCCGTCTGTTTTTCTTCGTCAACACTCTTCACGTCGACCAATTCGACACCATGTTGCGGACCTCGATTTTGCGAGCCGCCCGGCTGCCTCGTGCAGGCTGCGCCTCGAGCGCCTCAATCGTTGCCAGCCTCCGCTCGACGGCCGTGCGTCCTGCGGGCCTGACCCAAACTGCTGCTTTCCAGGGCCGTGTCGTACCGGCGCCGTCCCTTGTTGCTCGGTTCGGCCGCAGTTACTCCACCAGCAACGCGACTGCCGATGCCACGGCAGACGAGACCCAAGAGGACAAGGGCGAGTCGGGCCCGGTCACCAAATTCTCGGACCTGGAGAGAGTTGGTGTTCACAAGAACCTGGTTCGTTCGCTGACCCAGGGCTTGGGCTACGAGAATATGACGAGCGTTCAGTCTATGGCGATGGAGCCCGCTCTTATTGGCAAGGACATGTAATTTCACCGTCTTTCCGCTACATCCATATCTCGTTTACCTCTTGTCTCTTCTAACACCTATATCAGTGTTGCACAGGCCAAGACTGGCACAGGAAAGACACTTGCCTTCCTCATCCCCGTTATCCAGCGAATGATTGACAACAACGCCGACCTCGCACATCCCGGCCGCTACCGCCCCACCGCCAGTGACATCCGTGCGATTGTCATGTCGCCGACTCGTGAGCTGGCAGAGCAGATTGGTGCGGAGGCCCGCAAGCTCGTCCAAGGTACGGGCATTATAGTGCAGACGGCCGTCGGTGGTACACAGCGGAATGCCATGTTGCAAAAGACAAGAAGAGAGGGCTGCCACTTGCTTGTGGCGACACCGGGCCGTCTGAATGACCTGCTGTCTTCGGAAGACAGTGGCATCGGCGCGCCGCAGCTGGAGGCGCTGGTACTGGACGAAGCGGACCGCATGCTGGACGTGGGCTTCGAGCGTGAGCTGCGCGAGATTCTACGATACCTGCCGGACCGCAAAAACGTGCCGCGGCAGACACTGCTGTTCTCGGCGACGGTGCCGAAGAATGTGGTGTCGCTGGCGCGCACGTATGTCGACGCGTCGAACTTCCAGTTTGTGCAGACCATCAAGCCCGAGGACGTGCTGACGCACCAAAAGGTGCCGCAGCACATCCTCCCGGTACGTGGCTACGAGAACATGTACCCGACGCTGCTGGAGCTGATTGAGCGGGAGATGGAAGCTGCCAACACGCCGGGTAGCGACCGGATGCCGTTCAAGGCCATTGTCTTCTTGTCGACGACCAGCATGGTGCAGCTGACGCAGGATGTGTTCTACACTCTGAGTCACGGAAAGGTGAAGCTGCCGAGACAGTACCACATCCACTCCAAGCTAACGCAGCGCGCGCGCACGGATGCCGCCGACCAATTCCGCAATGCGCGGAGCGCGATCTTGTTCTCGTCGGACGTAACGGCGCGTGGCATGGACTTCCCCAACGTGACCCACGTGATTCAGGTCGGCGTCCCGCCCGACCGGGATCAATACATCCACCGCCTCGGCCGCACGGGTCGTGCTGACAAGGGTGGCCAGGGCTGGCTTATTGTTGCCGAAAACGAGATTACGGCGGCGCGCCAAATGCTGACGGACCTGCCCATTCAGCGCGTGTCCGGATTTGATTGCGCAGGCTACGACATGACTGATTATCACGCCAAGAATGGTGAGAATGGCGAGAGTGTTGAGGATCGTCCGCGACAGATCGACGTGGTTGCACAGACGATGAAGTCGACGCCCGGGAGCCTTCTCGTGGATGCGTACTTGTCGTATTTAGGCGGCGCCAGCACTGGACGAAACGTGCAGACAACGTGTAACAACCTCAATGACTGGGTGTACAATGGCTGGGGCTGGAAAGAGCCGCCAGCAATTTCGTCATTCATTGCGACAAAGCGGGGCCTACATCGGGTGCGCGGCTTGAATATCCAGGATAGTTCCACACGGAACAGCTACCGGTCTTCTAACGAGGTTGCTGGTGGCGACCAGTTCGAGCGACAATTCTCGTCCGGCTTTAACGACTCGCGCGGCGGTTCGTCCGGGGGCTTTTCAAACCGTGGCCCGCGCGCCGGCGGTGCTTCGAGATACGATTCACGTGGTTCGAGTGGCTTCGAACGCGGCTCTGGTCGTGGTGGCGACGGCTACCGTGGCTCGTCCGGCTCTTCACGTTCCGGCTACGGCTCGAGAGGGGACAACGGTCGGTTCAATGACTGGTCCAGGGACCGGAACTAAGTGAACTATACAGCGCCGGGCGCGGGTTGGAGGGCCGGGTTTGTGTTCAAAGACATAGAACGCTGGTGTACCCATTGACGAAGCGCACGGCGAACGGCGCTGGGGGCGCCTACACGAGGATGTTATTGACCATATGCCACGGCCATCGCATGACCATCCAATAACGACGACGACGCGATGGTTTGGCTTGGAGAAGGGCCTTTGTACGACTATTTGGCTATTGCCTACTTGGCTATTTGCCGTCTGCCGCCTTCAATACTCCTACTACACCACGACGAGGTGAAGATCGGAAATATGAAGCTGGCGAGCGGCCGAGTGATACCTTTTTTCTCTTGTACATTTAGATTGCATACATTTGGGCCGGTTGAAAAAGGTGGAAAAGTACAGGAGACGAGAGCAGCGTCCTTGGGGTTTTGCGTTGGATTTTGGGGAAACGGTTGCTTTTGGTTTCCTTTTGTTTGATACTGTCTGCGCTACTCTAGTATTTATGCCTGTCCCTTGATCGTTGAGTTGACTTGGGGTCCAGGACGAACCATCTCGACTATTTTGTTACCGTTTTGTATGTTACGTTCATAATGGCGTGCATTGTCCTTATCTTCTCCTCTTTAGAACACCACTCTGCTCAATAGACCATTCGTTCTACTGCTGTGCCTTGTGTCTCGACGTTGTGCAGAACAGGATAGCACGTGGGATAATGTGTGGTTGACTAATCGGCACCTTCCCGTACATGGCCGACCCACTTCATTTTCACATGCTCGTCTGGCCCTGCGCCCCTCTATAGCACTGAAGAAAGTTTATCGGAACGAGACCAAAGATACAAAGATAACATTTCAGTCTCGCATTTATCATGCTCGCCCTTCCTCGTTCCTCTTGTTCCTCCCTGTCTCGGATTTTGCCAATGGAATTCGTCCTCCGCCCCGGCCTCATTGGCAGCGCAGCTGGGCATTTCTAACAGCTGTTTTGTTTTGTCTCACCAGCCTGAGCCATTCAGAGAGAGTACTTCTCGTTCTCGTTTTCTGCTTCTTTGTCACAGACGCCGACAAAGAAGCGTTTGTGACGCCACGCATTACATCTCGGGTTTGAACAATTTTCTGCATCTCTCGATTTTGGTGTACGATATTCGCTTCTCCACTGGTCTCTTGCGCGAATCGAATTCCGAATTCGTTTTTTCCCGCCACATCGCCTCGATCGTCTTTATGAGTCTTGTCTCCCGCATTTCCGACGTGACCTACCTTACTCAGAATATGGTTCCGTCACCAGCATCCGCACCCGCATCGCCCCCTCCGCCCACCGACGACATGTCGTCTCTTTTGATTGCGGCGCTGCCCACGTCGATCCAGTCGCGCATACCCAAACTTCCGTCACTGCGGCGTACGGTTAGCATGCAGAGCATGTTCTTCCGCTCCGAGTCGACGTCAACAGTAGCGGCACTGCCATCCGACACGCCATCATCACTCGATCTCTCCTCCGTCTCATCGGCTGCTTCCTCGCCGCCGCCGTCGCGGCCTTCCACATCGGCAGGACCAAGCAGCAGGCGAGGCAGCACCAAAGACGCGCACGACATGGGCCTTGTCCTGGCGTCGCGGATGCGCCAGAGCCATGTTGAGCCATTGGCGTCCGACGTGAAGTGGAAATATGCACAAAATGGTGCGTCTCTCTCCCAGCTCTACCCCTTCTTAGTACCTCTTCTAACATTATGTTTAGGTTTCCGAAATCTCCAGAATGCTCTTCGTGAAGCGGGCGACCCCGATCGTCTACCGGAACTCGAACGCCAAATCTACGTCGAGAGCATCGCCTATCTGCTGCGCGGCCTTCCGGACGACCTCCAAGAAGCCGAGCTCAGTCAGCTGCGCAGTGCAGCGCCCGAGCGCCTTGTCGGCGTGTCCGGGGTTCCTCTTTCCACCTCTTCCTTATCCGCTGAGCAGCTGCAGCAGCTCCAACAACAATACAACCTCGGCTTGTATGGCCCCGTGCTACCGCCCGGCACAACATCGCCTCCGGGAGGAGCCCCACAAAAAGCATACTTCAAGAAACGCTCCCTGCCGCATATTGCCACGCACTGGCTCGTCACCAAAATCTACGCTCTGATCCTGCTGCTCATCCCCATCGTCACGGACCTAGCGCGCTGGGCCATAGAGATGGAGCGCAAGTACCACATACCGGAAGCCCTGCTGAGCTGTGCGACGACTGTCGCGCTGATGGTGTACCGCAACTCGATGGAGCTTTATGTCACTGTGTGCAGCCTGGGCGATGGCAGCGTGGGTCGCGCTCTCGACGATGGCAAAGTGTACCTGGCCGACGGCGTCGTGACAGGGTTCCGCGAGGCCGTATTTGACATGGCGCGTGGGCAGCGGTGAGGGTAGCCGAAAGACGACCATTGAGTGGAGAGTGGGAATATGGCGTGGCTCAAGGGAGTTTGCTTGACACATTGATTCTGGATTTTCTGGGCGGTTCCTTTGACAAGAACGTGCCAGGACACAATTTTACTTGGCGCAATTTGGGTGTTTTGGAATAGAGTATAACAGCGTGTCTTTTTTGGATTGTATCTGACATATTTCTTTTATTTGTGTTTGAGTCTTTGATTTATACTTTTTCATTGTATGCTAGTTTTGGATATAAATGACAAACGAGAGACGACAAACGACAGACGACAGACGACAGACGACAGACGACAGACGACAGACGACAGGTTTCAGGCCATATTAAGAAGAGGATACAAATAATATACGACCAAGTCCGATGCAGCAAATGTGGGTAACATGGACAAGATAATTTCAGAGGGCAATGTTGATAATTGATACTTGAAAAGGGTAATTCAATGACTCCTGACTTGAGGACGTTAAGGAACGCGTTCTTCAGCCAGGGACGGTAAGTTAATTCGTACAGTGGATGCAGACAGTTGCTAAACTGACAAGCAAGCTGCAAGGTCCGCTCCACACTCTCTGCCGCGCTCTGCCTACGCTGTCCCACTTTATTTAGCGGTGATACAGGCTCTATGCCGCCACGAAAGCACTGTTCGCACCGGGAGAAGTGTCCTGGACCTAGCATAACTGCTCTGTAGTGCAATCCCCACCACAGGCACATTTTCTAGCATTTGGACAGCGCCGTCAGCTGCCAGCACCAGTAATTCTGTAACTTAGCACCGTATGTGCACATTGCTCTGTGCTTATGTCCTGTTGTTGGTATCACCAAGCTTTCCATCCGCCTTTATTGTCACCTCCGCCCCTTTTCGTCAGCTTCAACCTCCAACGATTTTGTCGATGCTTGACCCATTCTTGGCCGGAACATCGACCCCCGAGTACAGAATTTCGATATTCCTCGGCACCCAACCGCGCTCGGCCAGCTGGTGCCTGCCCTCCCCTAGTTCAGCGCTTTTGCGTCGTGTCGACTTACGTCCCGCCGCGTCGATTAGGGATGTTCCCTTCTCGAAGCCAGACTTCGTAGCAGCCAATCCCGAGCTGCCGAGCCGATCGAGGACACCGACAGATCACCCGCCGCGAACTCTCGTCTCCTCCGAGTCCCCGACTTGCATCAGCAACACGCCGCGAGCCCTCTTCAACCGCCGCTCGGCTTGATCCGCCCTCCCTTGCCTTATCACCTCACATTGCCTTGTCGATATCATCAACCACCAGCCAGGCAGCCGACGGATAGACACAATTATCCAGATGACGGGTCCGCTGCTCGCGCTGTGACCAATCCGAGATCCCGGCGATTTCCCGATTGACAACACAATTCGACGCAAGTCAGGACGGCCTACAATTGCCGCGTCGTTCCGCCAATGTTTTCGTCCTCGGGCGTCAATACGCCCGACGGCGAGGCTGCGGCTGCCCGTCCTCGCAATCGACGGCCAAACGCCGCCGTTGCCACAGGCGGCGCGTCATCCTCTTCGTCGGCTGCATCCATGACCGGCGGACTTCTGAGTCCCCTGTCCGCCAGTCGGTCCCACACCAATCTACACTCTGGTAGCTCAGGGAGCACATTTGGTGGCCTGCAAGCTTCGTCCTCTGCCGCGTCTGCGTGGGTCCCCAATTGGTCCTCCATTCAAGAGTTTGCTACGACGCTGCTGGCCGGGAGCGGGAGCTCTACTAGCGGCGGTGGCAGCATACCGCGCAGCCGGAGCACTGGCGCTCGATCACCTCAAGGGCGCGGGAATGTCAGCACACGAAAACTGCCTTCTGCATGGGGGCCTGCACCACCAGACAAGAGCTCGTCTCCCTCGCGGCCCAGCATACAAGACGTGGCGGCAGGCCAGACCGCCGCACGAGAAGCCGAACTAAAAGCACGGATGACGGCCAGCGTGCTTGAGAGCCATCCCGGTGTGAACGGTGGGCTCGATGTGCGGGGCAAGTTCAAAAAACGCAACTCGGACGAGAACCTGCGTGGTTCGGCTGCTGCGGCTGAGGTGGAGGATTGCCTGGTCTATATCCACCGTGTACAGGCCACGGATACCTACTTTGGCATCATCCTCAGGTATCGATGCAACGAGGACGCCTTCCGGAAAGCCAATGGTCTTTGGTCGCGGGACAATATCCAGATCCGGAAATGGGTCGCTCTCCCTGTCGACGCCTGCGAGATCAAGGGCAGACCTTGCGACGATCCGTCCCTGTTCCCGCAGGGCGTAGACCTAATGGCGTCAACGCCCACGCCGCGCAATGTGCCGCCGCCAGCCTCCCAAGTTAATGGCGTGAGTGATGGCGACTACTTTGGCTCGCCAGCGGCTGGCTCCAGCAAGACATCCGTCACCGGCAAATCAGTGGCGGATGACGTCGTCTCCGAGCCGCCATGGACCCATGTGCGCTGGGTGCGCTTGGACTCCAGCCCAAATCCAGTCGAGATTGTCCGCATGTCAAGGACGACTTTTGGTTACTTCCCGCCGCGGCGGAAGAAGAGCATCCGCGGCTCCGTGTCGTCTGTCTCCACACCCCGCGCCTCGCTTGACATCTCCCTTAGCAACGCCTCTTTGCCGGAACGGCCCCTCGCCGACAGCCCTAACCGCAGCTCGCGCCGGCCTAGTTTGCTCGGCAACCGTGTCGCTCCAGGCACATCCCCTATATCGTCGTCTCCCTCGCGCCATGGACTGGGTCGAACCAGCAGCAACCAGCCAGCCGTAGATCCCCGTCCAGAATGGATGCGGCGGCCTGGTGGCGTCGGCTCGATGAGCAGGAGCGTCCGTGCCCCCGGGCCCGCCCGTGACTCGCTAAACAAGTGGACCACCAAGCATCTACCAGGGCTCAACATTGAGACGCTGCCGTCCATGTCCGTCATGGGCTCCGAGACGGCGCACTTTGGCTTTGGCGACGACCAGCGGGCCAGCATTGTCGAGAGCTCGTTTGAAGACGGGCGTGACGCGTCCACGGCCGCTGCTCTAAAGGACAACGGCCTCGACAAGGCGGCCGCATCCATCGAGACTTGGCTACGCGGGGCGTTTGCTAAACGGCCTGGAACACCCGGCTCCGCCGCCGGAACGCCCTCGACATCCTTTGCCGGGCGGATCGGACGCCAGCTCGAAGAGACGCTGGGCGACCTGATCGAGCTAGAGGATGGGCCACGGGAGGACGGCGGCCCTGGGAGAACGGCTGCCACAAGTAGCTCAGGACAGACGCTGCGGCCAAATGTTTCGACGGGATGGCGTACCGAAAGCGAAGGCTCCATTCGTGGCAGGAGCGCTGTTGCGGCAGCCGGACGTGCCAAAGGCAAGAAGGACGACTAAGAACGTCCTGTCGACTCTCCAGGCTACTACACTATGACTTTGTATACACTTTCTTATGTCTTCACTTTCTGTTTCTCTTATTTTGCCTCTCCGTTCTTTGGCTACTTTTTTCATGTCTCTAGTCAATCTTTCTTGTACCTCTCGTTCTGGCATAGACGGCACCTTATTCAATACCCCTTTTACAACCACAAGACACCACCTTTATGTGGCTTGCGGCTGTGAGCTTTAACACCAATAAACTATTTGAAAAGAGAAACTTACTAGCCAAAGTCAATTAATGTGAAAGACAGTCTACCACTTGTTGGAGTTGTGTCGAAAGTATGTCGTACTTTGACGTGAAATATGCGTGGTTCTGCTTAGTAATATCAAGAACCAAATTAATATGGCGTGGGGCGCGATCGACGCTCAGCTCGACAACAATCGCCGTAACAACACTTCCAGGCGGCTTACGGCAACAGCCTGAAACTGACGACGACAACTTCCGCCATCGCGACTCTATACAGACCCAGATTGAACATGGGCCTTTGAACTACCATCTAGTCGTCTCACGGGCCCGTCGGACTGAACCCCACCCTCCTCACCATACTTCCACGTCCTCGTCTGACCGCCGCGATGCCCATTTGCATCGAGTGCCAGTACCCCGTCCAGACGCTATGGACCGAGTACACGGGCGCCGGCGACAAGTCCAGTGGTCACAACATTCGGCTAACTGTCTGTCGCAACTGCGGTCAGTTCTGCGACAAGTATGTCGAGCACGACTTTGTCGTCATCTTCATCGACCTCGTCCTTATCAAGCCCCAGGTCTACCGTCACCTGTTGCACAACACCCTCATGCGCGAAGGCGACCAGTTTGATGTGAGTCTTTTGTTAGCCCTTGTTGTCCTTTAAGTTTGTCTCTTGTCTTGGTCGACGCTGACGCGTTTAGCCATCCATTGTCCGCCTCGGCGTTCTTCTACTCCTCTTCGACGTCTACCTGACGTGGGTGCGCATCGAGCGGCAGGCCAACCCCGAAGACGCCATCAGCTTGTTTGGCTCGGCCAAGGGCGGCGGCGGCGCGTCCAGCCCCCTGTCGTCTCTGGCGCCTCCGCCAGCGTCCATCGAAGCAGCTGTGCCCCCCCTCCTCGAAGCACCCGCCGGCGGCGCATTTGCTTCGTCGTTTGCCTCGGCCTCGTCGCTGGCGCTCTCCCTGGCCCCGTCCTCGTTGTCGTCGCTGTCGTCCTCTTCCTCCGCTGCCTCCTCCTTTCTCCAGAATCCGGCCGACATTGCTGCCTCCGCCGCCGACATTGGCCGCCTCGCCCAGCAGCCCATTGTATTTCAGTACTTCTTCTACCTCGTCCTCTGCGCCCTCTCGACCCTCGCCTTCCATTTCTCGATCCGCTTTCTCACCTCCTCGCCGCTGTCACCACTCGCCCGCATGCGCATCCTGCCGACCTTCCACCGCCCAAATTCGGTGTCGACGGCGCTGCTCGTCAGCTCATCCACGAAGCTGTTCCCCATTCTCATGGTGATTTGGGAATACGACGTGCCGGCAGCGGCGCGGTCGCTCGGGTGGGCCGTCGTCGTCAACAATATTGAAGCCTTGAAAATCCTGCTCGACTGTGGATACGGCACCGCAGCATTTCTGGCCATGGCCGGGGCGCTGAGTCGATGGGCTATTGGGCGGCTTGTGTTGTGGGTGGTGGGACTCGGTGACGTGGACGGTGCTGGCGCGAGCAGTATGGCCGAAGACGGCAGGGCGCTCTGGGCCGTTGTTCGTATGGTCCGCGACTGGGCGGGTAGACTGGCGGTTGGTTAAATCTTGTATGAATACCCTTGGTTGCCGTTAGAGAAAATGGTTGGCGATACAAGTTTACGACAGAGAACCCAGACACAAATGAATAATGAGACTAGTGCAAACCCCATTTCATTTTTAACAACTTGTACGGTGTGGTCACTTTAGCATGTTGAGTAAATTTGTTAAGACGACGAAGCGTCTTCTTGTCTATTATATGCAAAACAGAAAAAGACCACCGAGTTCCAGATCCCACCAGATACAATTCATTACACAAAAGGCCTGACAGGTTGACAACCTCGTTTAGTGCTCGTCCTCGACTGCCCTCACAAAGCAAGCCCACGTATGATAGACTTCCGCGCTCTCGTCTCCCAGTCAGGATCTCCTCATTCTTCGTCGCCCAGATATATGTACGTCGCTTGGAAAGCCGCGTCATGCGGCCGTTCCGAAAAATAAAATAAACGCCGGTTGTGAAAAATAGAAATATGTTACGTGTGGAGTGTGATGTGTGATGAGTGATATGGTCCAGTCGGTTTGTAGTATAGCCATTAAAGGACGCTCGAGACGCCTGGCTCGGTGTCGCGCAGCTTCTCGTCTCGTTTGAATCGTCGCATACCGCCTATTCGTGTATGAAGGCAGCCCGCAGGTCGGACCGCCGCGGCTCGATCAGGGGATTCAGTTGTGCCAAAAAGGTAATCGCCCACATCAGATAGCAGCACGAGAATGCCAGGATGAGCGACGACCGCCAGAGGCTGTTACCACACGTTAGCTGTCCGATCACGAAAGATTGGATCGCTCAATCGACTTCCGGGTCAACTCACACTTGATTCTCGCCCTTGGGTGACAGGAACCACGCGCCCACGCTCATGGCCGCCACAACAAACAGGCCGATAAAGATGCTCCACCTAGACAAGACGGGGAGAACATAATTCCCTGTGTTAGCCCTCCAGTTCGGCTCGAAAGGTTCTCGTTCACAATCTGCCCGTTCTGTATGGCCGCCACTCAGCCTTGCCACGGGACGCCTCCGTCCCCATCGCGTCCGCCTCCTCTGCCTCCCCGCGTTCCATTAAATGAATCAGATAGAGGAAGAGCACCAACCCGTTCGCCATTGTGTCCGTTGTTGCAGCGTGCTCTCGGCAACTTTCGTCGTTCGCTTCGCGCGGCGTTTTTCAGGAGGTCGCTTCGTGTCGAGTCTGGGGGTGGAGTGAAGATGAAATCCGCCAAGATAAATTAAAGGGGTTTTATAGTAGCATGTGTGCACGTCGATAAGTGTCGTTCAGGTGCGTCGCGGATTCGGCTGCGCGATGTCGTCGATAGATGGAGGCATATACTTTGCTCAGTACGAAGGAAGCTCCAACTAGAATAGATAGGTGCCTGGGAGCGGGAGTTTCATTGGCTGCCAGGACGAAACGGCTGCATGTATGCTGAGTCATCTTGTTTGCGCCTGGGGCCTGCGTTAGCGATTAATACCTGAAAATCGACCCGCTAAACCGCTCAGATTGGGACCCTCAATGTGCTCCAAATGTGGACCTCGCATGACTTGCCAGGTGTATCTCCGAACATTTCGATCTGACCACTTTCAACTTCACAGGAAACATATATCCCTACGATATACGACAAACAGCATTGGAAGGTAATAAAATGGAGTAGCAATGTTCAATCATACATATCTCGTAAAGCTGGCCGCAGATGACTCCTGATATACAATTCCATGTTTTAACATTTTTTTTGTCAGTTTTGCACTTTTTTCTTTTTGTTTTTGCCTGGAGTGCGGCGGCCTTCGAGTCAAGAAACCAACGGTTCTTGTCCATCTGGTGCCATTCTTTTGATTCAGGAATACCAAATGGCTCTCACCGGCAGACCGCTCACACATCCAAGCCATCTACGACGACGCCCTTAGTCCAGGTCCACTGAAGCATTCTGGCCACCTCGTTGGCCGCTTCCTCAGACACAAGGGCGCTGACCGTGTAGAGGGCAGCGTCGATGCCGGAGGAGATGCCTCCGGCAGTAATGACGCGCAGGCCACCGAGGCGCATGGCAGCACGGCGAGCAATGGATTCGCGGCGCGAAGAGCCCTTCAGGGAGATGCTTCCCTTTCTGTAGAGAAAGAAGTCAGCGTATTGCTTACACAAGCCAACGAACACCAATGCAGCACATACCTGGCGTTGGAAGGACGGCGGGCGTCCGACTTGCGGCGGATGTATGGGTTGTCGTCCTCGTCGCCGAGGTCGAAGCGGAGGTTGTTCACGACGTAGCGCGCGTCTTCAATGACGTCAGTGCGCTCGTCCAAGTTGCGTGTCGCAGCCTGGCTGCACAGGTTCTCAAATGTAGTGAGGTAGTCGGGGTGTGTGGTGGCAGACAGGCCGGCGAGGATGCCCAGGTCGGCCAAAAAGAGGGAGCCGGTGCAGATCGACAAAAGAGTGCGCTCCTGGATGGGATTGGCCTTTTGCAGTTCAGAGAACTTCTGAATGAGGCCCAGAGGTTCGGCCCGCGTCTTGAGGATCTCGGCCGTGTTGCCGCCCACAATGACAAGGATGTCAAAGTCTTCGAGCTGATCGTACGCTTCCTTGAACGAGATTTGCGAGCCAATGACAACATTCTGGCCAGAGAGGACCTTGGGCTCGCCACCGGCGACGGTGATATCAAAGGCCTTGGTATCTAGAGAAGGAGACGGCGCGTTAGCCCAAGGCCACGCAGCCAATTTCCTTCAATGGCATTGACTTTTTGTCGTTTGCCATTGCCGTATCACCGCATCACTTACTAGGGTCCTTGGCGTCGTGCTGCGCCCAGTTAAAGACCTCAAGCGGGCCGGCGAAGTCAATAAGATCAAACTTGTCCTGCAGGGCGATCAGGACCGAGAGTGGCTCCTGATCAGCCACTGCAGAAGTCTTCGCAGCCATCGTGAATGATTTGTGATGAAAAGAAGGGCTATGTGTAGAGAGTTGGGCAAGAAAAGAAGATGGAGAGAATGAATTCGAACCAAACCAGACGAGCGGGCGGGGTTCCTATTTAAAGGGAGGAAAGCTGCAACAGAGAACGTCGGGAAGGGGGGTGAGTGAGGGGGAACAAAGCACATTGGCAAATGGGGGGAACTGTTGCTGAGGAGAAAGGAGCACGCGGACAAACAAAAGAACAGGCGGGCAGGAACGACACGCTCAATTCCCAAAAGAGAGGCAGCTTCGAGGGACTACACGAAGTGACTACATAACACAACTGGCAAGAGCTGCAAGAACTGCAAGAAAAGCAAGAAAGGAAAGAGAGCAACAGCTAAGGCCCACGTTGCGTCAGAGACGTGTAGAAAGGAGCATCACCAGAGCACCAGACATGTCATAAAAGTACCACGTGAGGCCATTTTCTGCTACTTACGACAAGCTCAGTGCCGTTCCTTCGTGTTGCTCATCGGACGCGGGCAGAAGAGCCCGTCACACCATACAGTATGCAGTGTGGTACTACGTATATACGTTGTCGCAAGGTCTCGCGGTATGCGCCTTCCCTCAGTCCACTTCAGTCCACTTCAGTCCACTTCAGTCCACTTCAGTCCACTTCAGTCCACTTCAGTAGGCCAACTGACGGCATGGTCGGTCCTGGACCTGCTGCCGCCACTAACAAGGACAAACTGCAGGAGCCAAGGACGAGTTCCCTGGGGCGACTCCACATATTAGAAGGTAGCGCTACCTCAACGAAATAGGTTCATCACGCATGTTGAAAAGTAGCTCATACATGGAACTGGCTCTAACATGATTATCAAGGACGGCAGGCACGACCCACAACACAATCGTGCGGGGTTGAGCTGCGGTCACCTGCACCTCTGGCCGTTTAGCGTACGATCAGTGAGAAGCAGTGAAAGATCTTAATTAAATATAATCAAAAAATAACTCCTAAAATTACGCAAGAGTCCGCTTTATTTCTGGGTCCAGTCAGCTCGACGATGTCGCTGTGTCCAGCAAATTACGACGAATTCATCTGAGACCTCCCGTTTCCGCACGCGACAGGCCCAGACCCGGACCAGGACTCATATCCAGGGCTTTCACGTCGCGACCGAGAGACGACGGACAAACGACCGGCCGTTTCAAGCGTCCATTCAGAGACCGTTTATCTGCATGCCATTCGCGCTCATTCTTAACGCTTCCAACCTCTCCTGTCTCGTCTGTCGAGCTTTCTCTACGACGGAGGCTACCAGCTTTCACCCGCCGTAGACCTCCACCGATGATGCAAGCATAGACTTGGACCGGCTACGGCGGACTCCATCGACGAGGCATATAGTGCCTGTGGCGGACACCCCCTGCGTCGGCATTCGGTGGCCTCCGAACTACCCCGACGAGATATTAACATTCCACGAAAGTGTCACAAGCGTGAAGGACGAGGCAACGCGACATCGACAGAGTGACTAACGACGCTGATTGCAGCCAGAGGATTGTAATCCAAAGCTGTGACCATGTCGTCTTCCGGGTGAGCAGCTCCATTGTGGTTTCAGGACAAATAGGTTGAGCAGCTGCTGACAGACCTCCAGCTCGACGCGAGACCTTCACAGGGCCATACAAGCGTCATTGGCCTCGCCCAAGCTACCTCTATCCGATGAAGTCATACGTACCCTCGACGCGTACCTCGATAAACACCCTGATCACGACCAGGCTACGTCCGACCGCCTGCACGAGGACCTGCTCACGACCTTTTCGCAGTCTGTACATAACAAGCAGTCTGTCCACTATGCGTGCTTCCTAGCCATTTTGCGGCAGCTGCGACCAGCCATCCGGTCAACGACGTATCTTCTGCAGTGGTGGGAAAAGCTGATTGAGCCTGTGTTTGACCATCTTGGTGACGAGAGAGGCCCTTCGGGCGAGGTGCTGTCTGATGTTGGGCAGTTTTTGTTTCCAGACGACGACGACGCCGACAGCGACGAGGGCAACGGTGGTGCCCAGGACACCAACAAAGAGGTTGCATCGTATGCTCTTGGACTGCGACTGCTACAGAAATGGATGGACGTGTACCACATTGTTTTGACTCAGGGGTACAGCTCGGGCTGGACCAAGGAGCAGCCCATGCAAGAGGTCCTTCTTCTCTTTGGCAAGAGAAAGCCAAAGGTGCGCTACTGCATTGCTATCTACGGTGGAATTTGATGGCCCTCTCGCATGTTCGGGTTGGCTAACAGTAACACAGGAATTCTTCCACGTCCTCAACGATTTTTTTGTCCAAAAATTCTACCGTACCCGCTCGATCAGCCTCCTCTCTGAACTGATTCGGAGCCAGCCACCACACCTCTACCTCATCATCAAGTCGCCGCTGTTCGAGAGCCTCCTACGCTGCCTCCAGAAGGACACGTCGACGACCGTTGTGTCCCTGGCATTGACGTGCCTGACGATGTTGCTGCCGAACATGCCAGGCTCCATCGTGCCCTACCTTCCCACCCTCTTCAATATTTACGCACGTATCCTCTTCTGGGACCGGGAACAGCCCGTCGCCGACGACCTCGGAACTATGGCTAGTCCATCGGAGCAAAGCTCTTCCTCCCAAGTTTGGGAGAAGTGCACCTTCACACCGGAGATTGACCGCCTCGCCATCCCACACCTCCTTGGCTACTTCAATATTCTGTACGGGCTGTACCCGCTCAACTTTATGGACTACATCCGCAAACCACAACGCTACCTCCGTCATGCGAACGCCAGAGACACGGATGACGTGGAGGTGCAGCCTTCGGAGATTCGTGACCGGTCTGAAAAGTACCGTCAGTGCCACATGCTGCACCCCAACTTTTATAGCTTGACGATCGAATCGGAGAAAACCGATTTTGGAAGGTGGATGAAGAGTGCCACAGCTGATGTTGTGGCTGAATGTGTCTCTCTGCATATATCGGTCGACGAGCGACACGCTCTTCGGAATGACAGTATCACACAGCGCAACCTGTTGAGGGACCAATTCCCCTCCCTCTTGAACAGAAGCTCGGCCTTACCAGCGGCCAGTGACGTTGCCGACGAGGAGACTGCGCCCAATCAGATTGTTCCTAATGCGGAACGGCATTCCGCATCGACAGGCCTTGCCTCTGTGTCAACAAGCAGCCGAGACCCTTCGGCCATTATGCGGCGGGCGTCGCAATGCAGCCAATCCTCCGACATTCAAAGGCGGGACAGCACGACCGACAGCCCGACCCTGGGCCCATTGCTCTCAATGACGACGTCGCGTACAGATGTTCAGGATGGGAGCGACTCCACAAGAGCCGCCAAGCTAAGCATCTACCAGAGTCAAGCCAACGACAGCGTGCAGTCGTTGTCGCTGAGTCACCAGGAGTCGATCCCTGAACGGCTCGCATCGCCATCCAAGGTATCTCTGCGCCAACCCTCCTTGGCTGCGCCTTCTCCCCTCCACCAGCTGGACAATGTCGACGATGTCGAGGCTGGCAAGAACGCAGAGGCCAGCGAGGATACCCTGATGGAGATGCGTCGGCAAATTCTCTTGTCGAAAAACGACCTGAACTTTGAGCGCTATATGGTCCAGCAGCACCTGGCACACATTGGCGCGCTACGCCGCAGCAATGTCCGCGAGGCCGTGACGGAGGCCGAGACCCAGCGGCTGATTATCGCCAACCGGACACTGAAGCAGCGCCTCGAAGAGGCTAAGAAGGCCGAGGCGCAGGTCAAAAAGGAAGCCGAAATGAGCCGCAACATGTCAAGAAATTGGGGCGACTCGCTCGCCAGAAAGGTCAAGAAACTGAGCGAGGAGCACAAGGCCTGGAAAGCCGAAGAAGAGAGCCTGCGGCGCGAACTCAAAGTGGCCCAGCAGGAGAGTGCGCGATTGCTTGCGGTCGTGTGCGAGATGGAAGTGCGCGAGCTCAAGGCCAAACAAGACATGCAGATGCTCGAGAGCGCCGCAGCGGAGATGAACAAGCTCAAGGAAGAGGTCAAAACAATGGAAGCCGCTAAGCGACAGCGCCAAAAGCTAGAGACACAACTGGAGCAGACGCAAGACGAGGTGACCCAAATGGAGGGCGCGCTGAAACTGCTGCAAATGAAGCTCGAGGCGCGCGAGTCTGACCTTGCCCAGACACGGACCTACTACCAACACCAGGTGGTTGCCCTCAGCACCAAGCTCGGCAAGGCCCTGGGTGAAGGAGAAGATCCTGGGAACGGCGTCAACATCTCGGAAACGCGCGCACAGGTCGACAACGCATTGGCGGCCAGCCGAGCAAAATATATGGACCTGCAGAAGAAGTACGCGTGGCTCATGCGCCGCTACACGCTTCTCGAATCAAAGAGACTTGAGCTCGGCACGAGCCCACCGTGCGACGAGCCGAACTACGGTGCGCAGTCTGCCGCCCTATCAGACCCGGAGTTGGACAATACCAGCACACAGCGGTCCCACCCTATCGCCGTGCGCGGTAGCGTCGGTGGTGGCACACATCGGCACCGCCAGCGCGTGGCATCGGACGCCGGCTTGTTCGACGCCCCATCACCGGGAAGTACCTGGCCCGCACAAATGTCGGCCAGCATCGGATCCGCCGTTTCATCGCCAAGCACCGTCGTCAGGCGCCCGTCTACGCCATCAGGGCCCCATCCAAGCGGTGAAGTAAGGGGCGAGTCACCCGGCAGTACGAGCCCACAGGCCGAGAGATACTATGGCAGAGGTATGCGATTACGAATTGAGTGGATTGAGAGATGCGGTTTCTTCACTCCCATCTATACGTCGTATACTAATATCCTTTGTCTAGGCGGTGTCCAGAACACACTTCGCAAAGAGCGCAAGGATAGCAAAAGGAGCGATGAGCCCGGGGACAAGAGGGACAAGAAGCCCAATCTATCAGGCATCCGGGGCATCCGCGGACTTGTATAATAATGGGCGAGAGAAGCATGTCCGGGTTTGGTGGGGGTGCAGCGATAGAGCGCCGCGATGCGCAAAATTAGACCAAATCCGACAAAATACCGACGGCACAAGAGATGGATGTTAGGCGTTTCTTGTTTTTGTTTTGTTTACCATACACACTCTACAGAATGTCTCATTCTCAAAATGCACGACGATACGATATCATATTCTTTCTTCTTTTATTCCCATTCCTTCTTTTCCATTTCTTTTCCATTTTCCTTTTCGGTGGCATTTATTTGTTTATTATTATGTCATCTTCGGTGTCTTTTGACTGTATTCCCATGCTTTCCATCTATTTACACAGCATCGACAGGGATCATGGGTGCGCACAGCCAACCGATCACCCCTCACCAATCAGATCTCCACTTTGGCGCAACCTGCAGCTGGTTGCTGCAGCCACGCGCAAAACAACGAATAACCAACCCACCTTGCCCAGCGGTCGCAATCGCTTCGAAGTCCATCGCCCACTCGTCATTATGCAGCCCATGTGTGAGGCTCGGGTGGACAGGACGCGACCACACGAAGTTCCTCCCACGTTTGCCGTTCGTTAAATCTAAGCGTTCCAGCCAGTGACTCCAACAAAAACTCACCCTTGTAAACATCCCTCACGTTATTTTGCGACTGCCAAGTCGTTTCTTTTCGTCGTTTTTTATTTCGTTCCAACTAACTGTATGACCCGGCTCTCTCTATCTCTCGTTTCCTTCTCTTTTTAGGCAGCGCATACGGTTTCGCCCCGGGCGAAATCCCAACGGTCGTGCCCGAGACACCAGCCCGCATTCCTTGCGCGGTGATGTTCCTGTCGATCGTGGAGACAAGGGCCTGCCTGGGCCTCACTCTCTCGCTCTCTTCTTGACTCTGGTCTCGGATTTACACATCCCGTCCCTTCTGTAAAAGCTGGGAGTGCATACCGTTCAAGACTACAGCATTTGACGTCTCACGGTGCGGTGCATCGTCACATTTCGTCACACGCCTGGTTTCGTCCTACATGCCAGCTGATTAGCTTCACGATATTTCCCTCGTCGTACCACAACCATTCCGCACCCGCACAGACGTCTTTTGTTAGGCGCCCTCTTCGTTGGCCGACGCCGAACGCCTTCGAAAATCACCGGAAACGATTCGACCTTGCAAAACCATGGCCCCAGCATTGCGCGCGCCGCGGCCCATGGCGCCCGAAATCAAACGGACCTCACTGCCCAGCATCTCTCACAGCACACCAAAAGACGTGCCACCAAAGCATCTCGAACAACGACACGAGTCTCTCTCGTCAACTCGCCCCACCAACGCTCCGGCCAGCGCCGTCTTGGCGCGGTCGCCCGCCCAGAGCAGCCTAATTCCTGCCATCTATGGGGCCAATGTGTCCGGTCCCACTGCGGGTGTCGTTGTCGGTATCACGCTGGGCGCCGTCGGCGGCTTCTTGCTGCTCATAGCCCTTCTCTATATGATTGTCAACATTGGTAACGGCAGCCCGGGCCGTGGCTTTATGAGCGGCGGCGGTAGCGTCGTCGAGGTTGCATCAAGCTTTGGCGGCGCCTCCAGCTACGTCTCACGCCGTGACGAGCGCCGTGCCCGCCGCCACCGCCACCACAGCGGTCGTCGGCGGAGGAGCGGGCGGCGGGAGACTGTGGAGATCCGCAGCAGCCGGGTGCGGCCCGTCATTGTGGATCCGCCAGAACGTGTGCAGCGCGTCGTGGTCGAGGAGGAGCGGATACGGCGGGCCAGCGGCGGGCGGCCCGGCCCGTCCGTCGTGGAGACAGTCGACAGCGACGACGACGAGATTGTTGTTGAGGAAGAGGTGGACGCCCGGCGGCGGCGGCGGCCCAGGGTCGACAGCGATGATGATGACGACGATGAAGTCGTGGTGATTGAGGAGAACTCGTCGGGACCCGGGCGGTCAAGGCGCAAGGGCAGCCGGGCCGGCAGGTAGTCCGTATGGCATGGTGTGGGCCAAGTTAATGGAATATGGCGAGTTTGGAGTTTGTTTGCGATGACAGGATCATGCAGAGGGTTTGCTTTTCTGATATTGACTTTTATCTCGTTCTGTGTACTTCACGTCTTGTTAATTTTTGGTCAACGTCCCACATGTTATTAGTAGATATTTGTCTACGAGATTTTGTACGCGATGAAGGAAACATTTCCTTTTTTGTTATGTATCTTTCTGTGCTAACGGTGCTTTGTACTTTTTTGCATTAAATACTCTACATGAAAAAGTCATGTAAAATAGATGTTACGTCTTTGGAACAAATTAGAAAAGAACAAATAATATATTTCGAAAAATAAAATAAACCTAAGATGGGTATCTCCCAAAATACGTTGATAAACCGTAACTTTTCTTACAACACAAATAATTTGAAGCAACTATATGTCACCTGGATTACCGCTGCCGCCGTTGCCGCCCTGCTGACCGCCAAAGAAGAAACCATCAAACAAGTCCAGCTGCTGGCCATCGTTGAAGTCGTGGTGCATGCCCTCCCATCCGAAGTTGAGGCCAAAGTCTATTTGCTGGTCACCCATCGGGCCATCCGCACCACTACCACCAACCAGGGGTCCGGCGCCGTCACCAATGTTGGTGTTAAGGTCCTGGAGGAACTCCATGCCCTGCAGCTCGGCGAATGCCTGGCCATTGGGAGTGTAGACGGAGTTGGCCTGCAGCTGTTGTTGTTGCTGTTGCTGTTGCTGTTGTTGCTGCTGCTGTTGCTGCTGCTGGCTGATTGTCGGCGAGGTCAGAATGGTCGACGGGTCGACGGCTGAGCCGTCTGGTGTGCCCAACATATCATAAGAACTAGCGTTGCTCCGTGGAATACTGAGCGCCGTGTCCATCATTGGGAAGCCATCCTGCTCCATCTTGACGCTATTTTGTTGTTGTTGTTGATGTTGATACTGCCGAAGCTGCTGCTGTTGTTGCTGCTGCTGTTGCCGTTGCTGCTGGTTCCGATGGTGCGATTGGTGGTGATGTTTGTTGGACGATGCGCTCTGTGTATTTGAATTCGGATATACATGAGCACTGTCCCCTGACCCGGTAGAGGTGGTCGACATGGCCGTCGTGATCTCGTTTGGTGAAAACCCCCAGTCCAGGCGCTGTCCATCGGCCGCTCCTCTCGACTGCCGCCGGGACTGGTAGGAGTGGAAAGAGGCCGTTTGTGAAAAGCCACCCGTTGAGTTGGCCATCTTGATCGTCGCCTTGGCTGTTCGGTCAAAGGCATCACGGCACGCTTCAGCAGGCGGGCATTTTTCAATCAGATCAGAAAATACCGACGTGGCAGCCAGGATCGTAAAGTCGACCTCATCCATACTCTGTCATAGTCATATCGTTTAGTTTCTAGTATTTTAAAATTATTTCTTTGTGAGAGAGGGAAGGGACGGTGAGGCTTACCAGTCGACTGCGTACAATGGGCGAGTGCCAGATTGCATAAAGATACGAAATGCCGGCCATGAACAGGTGGTGTGTCGCCAGGTACGTGTAGTTGACCAGTCCAATCAGATGCAGCTGGCGGTAGAGGCGCAGGATCCTCTGGCCGGCCTCGGCGACTTTGAGGTACACGCGTTCTTCGTCCTCGCGCAGCTCTGATTGATAGGCTGTCGGGTTGTTGACCTCTTTGGAGGTGTGGTATTCGCCTTCAAACATGGGCGGGACGCTCAGGCTTTGCCGGTACAGCATAATGATACACTGCCAGTAGTTGAGCTCCAAGAACTCAGTAGAAAAGGCCACGCCATTGTCCGGCTTTGGCGGCATGGTTGTCTTCCACTTGTAGAGGCGGCGGTCGATGTCGATGCGCCACGTCCGAAACGAGTCGAATTTTGCAAGGAATGGCGACGGTAGGTCGGCGTACATGAGCGGGTGGGCTTTTTCAGTCGAGGTAGCCAGGGCCACCTGCGCTTGCCGGTACTGGAGAACCTGTATAATCTCCGATTGCAGAACGCGCAGGTGGAAGTAGTGGTAGGCCACGCGCTTGTAGGTGGGCTCGGAGGGGTCGTGCTCTTTGCGCAAAAAGCCGTTGGGTGTGATATAGCGGTCGTCAAGCAGCGAGGGGAACTCGGTCGTCATGACGAGATCGGAGACGCCAAGCGGCCGGCCGACACAGACGCTGACAAGCCGATCAAACGAGTACGTGCACCACCACAGTCGGCGCCGAAGGTCGCGTACGTATTCCCGACGGCCGCGTTCTCTCGTCAGTGCCTCGTTCGCTGCGGCATTGGAGCCCAGTCCGGCCTCCACATCCTTGCCATCCTCATAGTACAGCCCGAGATCGACAGCGAGCCGCACAGCAACGCCAATAATGTACCAGAGACCAGGCGGGACAGGGCGCAAAAGGGCAAAATTTGCGAGCAGCAAGACTGCTTGCAGCTCTTCTAAGCCGCCTCCGCTGTTGCTCAGACAGGCCTCCAGATGCACAATGGCGCTGGCATGATACTCCTCTGGCTGGCACTGCTTGAAGCGACTTCCGGTGCCACCGCAGCTGTTCTCGCCGCCCTCGCCGTCTCTCTCGCCGCCCTCACCGTCCGCCTCGTCGTTTTTGCCGTGGTCGCCGACAATGATGCCGCCGCCAATGGCAAACACCATGTTGAGCATGTACAGTTCCTTCGGCCCGCGAACGCGTCCTTCTGTGGCATACGCCCGCTCAAACATCTGCATAAAGTCCTCGCGGTGGAGAACAGGTATCTGGGGATTGGCGTGCTCAAAGTATAGGCCGACCAGCTTCCGGCCCAGCTCACGATCAGGGAACACAGCCGGGTGGATCGTGGGTTTCGTATGGAGGCCGAAGAACGAGTCGCGCATGGATGTGCCGGCGCCAACCGAGCCGTTGCCCGCAATGGGTTTGTAGGGGCGGATGCTGCCTTTGTCAGAGATGGATTTGTGGTCCGAGACGGACGACTGGACAGCAGCAAAGACGACACGCGCAAAGGACACACCCGTCGCCGCACCCAGATGCCGCGGGTTTGATGTGCCCTGATCCCGGGTCTGATTGGCGCGGGCCACCAGCTTTTGTATCCGGCTGGTAGCCGACGCGGCGCCGTTGTCGTCGTCATCATTGTGGAGATCGTCGTGTTGCTGTCTGTTGCCTCGGTTGTCGGACCTGTCCTCGCCGGTACCACCACCGATGTCATGGCCGCCTCCGCTCCTGCTCTGGCCCACGTCCAAGGAGGCACCGCTCTTTGCTTGGTCCCCAAACCCGCTGCTGCGGACAGCTTCTGTCGGAGATCGCATGGTGCTTGAATGCTCAAGCTCTTCTGCCGATGGGAAGGCAATCTTGTTCTCCCGCAAGAGAGCCTCTAGCTGCTCGATTCTCGTTTCTAGATAGTAAACATAGCTGTGTTCTGTTAGCAGACCTCCTTCTGCATGCTCAAAGGAAAAAAAAAAAAAAAAAAAAAACTTCCGCTTCTCATCGGCCAACGTACCTTCGTGGAATCTCTCGTTTTGTAATGGGATCGTATCCTACGCAGGCTACACCGGCCTTCTCGCAACTGACGCAGCTGGGCAACCGCTGGTCGCAACGGTTCTTTCGTAAACGGCACCGGTTGCAGGCGCTGACATTGCGGAAGTTGCTGCTCTGGCTGACCTTCCCTCCGCCGCCAGCACCGCCACCAGCACTGCCAGAGCGCGCCGCGGCGGTCGCGCTGGTTCCATTGGCGGTGCTGGCCGCAGCGTTCGCGGCGCCGCCGGTAGACTGATCGTCAATTGGTGGTGTTGTGGATGCCTCAGGTACAGTCTCTGGCGCCGCTGCTGTTGCTGCCGTGGGTTCGGGTGAAGGGCGGTTGGGTGAGACCTGGCGTATCCTCTTCGCGGCTGGCACGGCACTTGGTGATGGAGGCGCGTGGGCCGCCATGGTCATCAAGGCTGCTTGCTATAGGTGCTATAGAGGGGATATCGCGGGTTCTTATATTGTCCCAGTTGGTGTAGAAGCACCGTTGAGCAGCAAAAAAGCCGCCCTCGAGCTTCGTCGCAAAACGAGGCGCAAAAAGAGCGTGAAGGGCGAGATCGGCGCACAGCCAACACGTTCGTCTCGAGGATCAAGGCAAGTGACAAACAGTAAAACCAGGTCAACGGCACCGCGCTTAACTTCTTGCTATTCTCTTCCGTCGTCGTCGTCGCCGCCGGAGCGCCCTGGCCCCATAGTATGGTTCGCTTTTGGAGTCTCAGTCGCTGCCTTTTGTTCGCAGTGTGCTACTGTTGAGTCGAATGTTTTGTCGTCATTCAAGAATCCGAGTGTTCTGACGACCCGGGCGCAGTGTATTCTGCGGTGGGCGGCAGTCGGGGCGTGTGCGGAAGAGAATGTTTCGCTCGTGCGCAGGGCAGGGGGCGAGGGTGCTGGGGAAGTTGTAGCGGGCGGCGAGGCTTGGACAAAACTAGCAGCACCGTGGAGAGAAAAAGAGGAGTAGTTGAGGCTGGGATTGTGCCTGCCGTATATGTACTTGGACTGCTATGACACGAAGTCTTTCCGAGGAAGTGACTACCGAGTATGAAGACGTGTAGAACGTAAAGGACGATTGCGGAAGGGACCGGGTATGGGAGAAGGAACGAAGCAGTAACGGTTGAAGTCGTAGAAGCTGCAAGTGCGAGTGAGAACGCGGGGAACCCGATCTAGTAGGCAGGCACACCCACGAGAAAAGAGTTACGGGCGAACAGGGAAGGCTGTGGGTGAGAGTTGAAACAGTCCAAGGAAATTAGCAAAAGAAAATGGTAACGATTAGATTAGGACGACCGTTCTCAACTTTACATCCTCCGTACAGCAGCGTCCAGAGGCACAGACAAAGAGAGCAAAGGGCGAAAAAGCATCGGGCGATGCGTGAAATAATATGCCCAACTAGGAAAGCGCATGCGCCTATCTTCTCAGCACATGACGCATCCGCCCGCCTACTATTTTACAGACGGGAATAGGACGTGACTATGGGCTCTCTCCTTCTTCTCCGTTCGCTCTATTTTTTCCCCCTTCATTCAGTCCTTTGCTTCTCGGTATTTTACTCTCCACTCCTTGTTGCCATGTCGCACGTATTGCCCCCATTTCTGACCCTTGGCGTCTAGGACTTTGTTTTTGCGATAAGAAACGGCCGTTTCGACGAATCGGCGGCTGCCATTGCAAATGCTACCCAGGTGAGCTTTTCAGTTCCTCTTCAGGTATTTGCTATCGACGACCTCCGCTTCCCCCACTCTTTTCTTAAACCTAACCCGACAGAGCTTGGCTTGACTGAAGAAGGGTGGGGGAAACAAGTCTCCAACTGATCGTATGTATTTCGTACAACAAGGACAGACCGGGCTTGTGCAAACTACGCATTTTGAGTGAAACAGTACGTTGTCCGACATACGTCGAATGGTTTTTCGATACGGACCGTTGAGGGCGAACATACACGGACCGCGGCCGAAGTGCGGAACTTGACGTCCAGTACCAGCTTGCGCAAAATTCTTGGACGAGACAAAAACTGCACGAGATAGGATGTTCCAAAGGCGCGAAAATATTCCCCCTCCCCAACCCAAAAAAAAACCTATTAATTAAAATAAAATAAATACGCGGTGCCAATAATGTTACACCGTCGCCTTTCGGGCACACTTAGCAGCTGATTTGTGGAACCTCGCCTCAACCGTGTTCCCGTACTGTCGGTATCAAAACATGCCAATGTATTAATATTGAGTGCTTCTACCGTGAGAAACAGTAGATCGATTTGGTGCCACTGCAAGTGGTGTGCAGAATGTGTAGTATTTGGACACGGATGGCATACTATGTGATAAATGGTGCCGTCTACGAAGCCGACTAGAAGTTAACCATATATTCAGCACGTAGTAATGCTTTAAGAAAAAGCCTGAATAATTGATAGCCCTTTCTTTTCCATGGAACAGTGTCTCTTATGTCGACGTATAGTAAATATTTAATGAAACAAAACATGGCAAATAAAGATCATTGAAGAAAAACGTAACCGCATTAAAGAGCAACCATAGGCCCATGGTTGAACTCTACCGCCAAAGCATTCCCAAGCAGATTGTTCCCGTCAGCTTCCGTCGGCGTGTATCTTCGTGGTGTATAAATCCTTTCCAAATCCTGCATCTCTCCCCTAAAATAAACCCATGCAATGTACAAGTGGTATGAAAGCAAATGAAAAACTGTCAACAGTGATAAAGTGGCAGAAAGCATGCACAAAGGGCGTCGTTGATTTCTCGGTACTCCGTGCATAAATGTAAAGCGTCGCGTGGCAAAAATATCAAAGGAAACAAGTCGGAAACGGCAGACAACAGGGGGAATAATCGAAGAAAATCATCGAAAAAAACAAATAAAACGAACGTTTCAGTCCTCCTCATCAAGGAGAGCGGTGACACCCACCGGGCCCGCGACTGGTTGAAGCAGCGGGAGGGCGGTCTCGACATCGTCCGTCTTCTCCTCCATCAGCTTCTCTGCGGGCATTGTCAACTGCATCGCTACGAATGCTCCCATGATCGCGACACTGCTTGCGCACCACCATGGCAAGCTCGAGAAGCCAGACTCCTGGCCGACAGCGTACAGGAATCCCGAAATAGTCGGACCAAAAGCACGGCAGAGGCTGGCGGCTGACGCAGAGACGCCGTTTACTGTTCCCAGCTGAAGAGGATTGGGCGCAAGGTGCATAGTAATGAGGGCATTGCTCGGGTACGCCAGGGTCGAAAAGGTGCATTTCCAGATGATGACAAGGTATACCATGGCCATGCGAATGCTGTCGGGAAGCAGGACAAGGTAAGGCGTGACCAAGTACAGCGTGAAGTACGGGATGGCGACAAGCTGGAAGAGACGCAGGGGCCCAATTCGACCAATGACCCATGGGAACAGGAAGGTGTTGGACAAGAGCGAGTAGAAGCCCTGCACAGCCATGACGATGCCAACCGTCTGGTTGTCGAAGCCAAAGCCACCAGAGAACTTGAAGGGAAGATCGATATCGCTGCCGGTGGGCGGTGCCGTGCTGAGGAAGACTGGCAGAAGCTGGTCGAACGTCATTGTGTGGCTGATTAATGTTAGTTGGTGACCGGAAGAGAACCAAGGTTCATGAGAGAAATACATACAAAGCAAGGATGCCAAACGACATCGTGTTGAGGATGATGGGTCGCGTGAAGATGCTTGATGTCGACAGGGTCTCGGCAGGCTTGGTGGGATTGGTCGTCGCATCCAGATCAAGGGAATCGAGAGTTCCCACGTCCCGCAGGTTTACATCACTGTCGCGGGAAACAAGGCTGGGCGACGCCTCAGTGGTCTGGTAGCCAGGAAGCTGGTCATCGGCATCGATAAGCGGCTCCTCCTCGGCTAGCATCCGAAGCTTCTTGCCTTTGGTAGACTCTTTCCTCCATGACAAACGGGCGGCGATCTTCTGGCCAAGAATGAGGCCACGATCGATCTCGTGCTTCTTGACGGGGTGAGTCTCCTCGAGAAAAAAGATACCGGCGAAGAGGCCCATGAAAACGGCGCAGGCGCTGAACAGGTTCGGAAGCAGGTATGGGTATGTGTCCCAGATGCTGCCAGGACGAAAGATGCTTGGGTAGAATATGCAGGGTCTGGCAAGGGCGCCTCCGATGGCAGGACCGATCATGGAGCTATGGTAAAATATGTCAGTGTTTTGTTTCTCGGCGTTTGCGGCACCACATAGAGAATGCTCTGCGAGGTGTGCGACTTACCCAATGCACCAAACAGCGGGAATCACAGAGAAAGCACGGCCTAAATTGGGTATCAGGTTAGGATTTTGTCCATATATTCCTGACTGAAAAAAATGACAGGACATACCATGGTGCTCCTTGACCTTGACAAGCTCACCGACGGTCGTCTGCATGACACCAATGTTGCTGCAAGACAATGGTTAGCCCTAAAAGAGTTCTCCAGAAGACGGGTAAGGCTTGGGTGGAAGCCGTCACGATGCAAACGTACCCATTGAGAATGCCGCCGAGGGCACGTGCGATGAGCGCGACGGTCAAGTTCGGAGCAAAGCCAAACATAATCACGCTCAAGGCGGTACCAGCGAGACCCGTCATCAGCACAGGCTTGCGCCCGATCCTGTCACTGAGCCGGCCCCAGAAGACGCCGGTGAGAAACTCAGCGAATGTAAACGCTGATGTGACCAGGCCGGCATAAAACGAAATCTGCTTCTCGTCCTCGGTGATGTGGAAATCCTGAATCATAAAGTAGATATATGGGAAGATGCCCATGAATGCAATCGGCTCGCAAAGACGGCACAGCGCTATGACAAAACAGTTAGGCCGCTGGTGACGCAAAGAGTCTCAATGCAAATAATCTTCTCAGGGTTGGAGACGTACCAAGAACAAACATCTGTCTCTTGGGGAAAGGCGGCAATGGCTTCTTGGGCGCCGAGACGGGAGTCTCCCTCCCGCCGAGAAGAGGGGCGGTCGAAGTTCTCGCCATGGTGAATTCGCTTGCCTGTTTAATAACGAATCGATGTGGCCTCTGGTCGGTGTAAGGTGTAGGCCTGGCGTGGACGTCTGTGGATCGGGCGTTTCGAGGTTGAAAGGAAGACAAGAGTGAAATCTTGACAGTTAAGAGAAAGGACGAGACTCTTAATATAATAAAATAGAAGTGGAATAGAATTGGGCACAAGATGAAGCGGCAAACACTGAGGCCTTGCTTCTTGTTGGGTTGCTTGATACGTTAATATGGCAACGGGTCGCAGCCTGACCTATGGTTTTTGTAGGTAGGAAGAAACAACATATGTCAGAGCCGTCAAAGAAAGTAGAGTGTAGGGGGAGATGATAATGTACACCAATGTGTATATTAATATGAAGAAAGAGAAAAATTGTGAGTGGGACGAAGGTACATGAGTTGTAACGGTGACTAGTTTGCAAGGGACAACAGAAGCTTGGACAATTGTCTCAAAGAAATGAAGAGGAAGAATGTGAAATGGAATCTTGAGGATTAGACAATTGTAAAAGAAAACAAACAGGACGGTAAACGATATAAAAAGCCGAGACTGTGGGAAGGAAGGAGGGGAGTGGATATATGGGTTCACATTTTGCGTACTTCGTAGTAGCTCGTCAGAAAGGGCTGAGACAAAGGTCACAGACCATATGGAGAGGTCGCTTTCACATTGCAGGGACAAGGCAGGGTTAGATGACTGTGCCTTCGAGAAAAAGAAAAGAAAAGCAAAAGGAGTCCAAGGGGTGAGGACAAAAGGGGAAAAAGAAAGGGGGGTGCGCCGAGGGAGACATGCAAGTCCTTTTTCTCTTTTCTTTTCTTTTTCTTTTTGCCTGGCCACTAGTCGGGGAAACAAGCGGTGACAGCCATGACCAACTAGCTCAGACACAAATGCCAGGGTACCAGGTGGTCGATCTTTTGGAAGGTCTAACTGACAACGGCTCAGCCGGACCCAAACCAGGGAATAATAAATCAGAAAATATGCCGCTTTAATGGGCTCTCCTCGAAAGACAAATTCCGGGGCCTGGGTCCAACAGGCTGGCTCACCCACCCCCGTTGCAATATGGCTTCTGGTATGCTAGCGCATGCTAGCTCGCTGGCCGTCTCCTGGGATGGACAAGGATGTGCCCCCCAGGACGAAGCCTTTGCATTTTGTGGCGCGGGATACCCATTTTGTTTTGTAAAGTGACTGAAAGTATCGTGGAGATGTGGGCCGTCGCGCAATGTATCAGTGTCTCGTTCCCCGAGGCTGCTGACTGCAAAGTTTGATGGAAATATGAGACGCTCGGCCGTGAAATATATTAGAGTGTGCGGTGCGACTGTGGCCTTTTAAAGCGATGACTGCGGTGACCAGCTATCGGCTGTAGCGGCCTCTTGCGACCGCGCCTTGCTCTCCGATGAAAAATGTCGGGAGATACAAATCGCTCCGCAATATTTGCAGCCATGTTCAGTCACGCGCATGGCTGCCGAACTCCTTGCGCTGGTCGGCCTTTTCGTCTTACAACAAAGGTGGTGTAACAAAGGGACGGATTGGGTATCCGCGGTATGGCTGTGTACCCGTTCTCTTGCGTACACAGCGTTCGTTATTGAGATCATTTTTGCATCCTCCGTCATGTGTGGCATGTCGTAGCAGACTACGGCAGGCTGTCGATTCGAGAAAGGCTCTTCGAGATCTGACTCGCCTTTCTCGCAGACACTTCTGAATACTGTACTGCCATCGAGAGCGACCGGTGTACCGCTCCATTCCGCGAGGGTAGGGGACGTATCTTGCATCGGCCGGTTGACCGTTTGAAGGATGGTTACATTGCTTTTCCTCGCCTCACCTTCAAATGTGCGCTGTGGTCGGTTCATGCTTTGCCCGTTATCCTGGCAGGCCTTTGCGAGTAGGCCAATCCACCAGGTATGCACCGTGTATGAATTGGGTCCATCCTTACATGTAAGCTGGGCAGCAGCATCGGCCGGAAGTAAGGTTAAGCCACCATGCCGCAGCTATAAACAAAGAGGACATGAGACCGCCTCGTGCAGCATATAGTCGGAGGAAGCGGCGTTGCAGGGCATAGCGGCGGTACAGCTTGCATGCGGCTTGCAGGGCAGCTCATGTTGTGTCTATTTTTGTGTCGCTGCTGACCATGGCAGTGTCCACTATCCGCCTCAACTAATCGTACCTTGCGGAATGTGTCGTATGGAAACGTTTAAAACAGGGGTGAAGGCATGTACGGAGAAGTGTCAGCAATGGAGACTCAAATCGTCATACTGGAAGCATTTCCAGCATATCTCGTGGAAGCAATTCAGTTGGTCCGCGTAGTAGTCGAAGTTGCTGCTCGTATTCAAGTCCTTCGGCACGTCGCTCGGAACCTTGGCGGTGACGAAGGAACGGGGGCTAATGGGGATGCGGTGAATGCGGTCTGTGTGCAAAGTATTTCCGTAAGGTCATTTTCTTGGTCAAAGATGGGTCCGCCCTCTCTCGGAGGACTCCGTTTTAAGACGGAAGAAAAGAAGGCTGGACAAAACATACCACGCAAGGGTAAAGTCGATTCGCTTGCCCCAGGCCTCTTCACTGTCAGTCTCCGTGGGTCACACTGCCGCAAGCCAGCGCAACGCTGCTCCACAGTACATCGCTTCTGTGGTGCAGTGGAGTCTGCCACGCCAATTCAGTGGACCAAAGCCCTGACCAGCACTTTGACGTCGGCGAGGATCACAATGTGAATGACCCTTCCTTCGTGTGCGTGTTTGGGCCGCTCGGATGCCAGCCCCAAAAAGGTCTAAAATAAAAGATAGAAGATGAAAACCCCACGGCGATGTGATGGGCCAAACGCGGGGAGATGCAGATTACAGAGTAAAAGGGGAGGACAAACGCTGAAGAGGAATTATCGCCAAGAAAAGGGGAATGGGTGAGAGGACTGACAAAAAAAGGCCAAGTGTAAACATTTGTTGAAAAAGAAGGCGCGACCAATAAGTGCACGGCGTATGTTGTACAGAGTAATTACAATTGAGCAAACCACGCGGAAGGATGTTACCCCTGCGACACAGAGTGCTGATGTGTGTTGCGCCTTCCCTGTTCGTGTGATTGCCAGAAAAGGGAATTATTGTGTACTTCCTACCGTTCTTTCCTTGACGCCCAACACAAACTGGAGAAAGCAGCATGGACAACGCACCGCAGCCTGACTCCTGCCTGAAATGCGTACATGAACAGTAGTGATACGAGGTGTGCCGCATTCGCCTTTTCCTTTCCTTTTCTTTTTTTCCTTCTTCTTTTTTTTTTAAAAAAAAAAGTAACTAAAAGAAAAACTAAAAATCTCTTACAGTCCAACCTCGTTCAGCAAGACATCACGATCGGCCTATTGCCGACAAGCCGACTGGCCACTACCGCCATGTACCACGTGTAAAACGGTCAATACAGTGACGTAATCAGAGCGACATAACATACGGAACGGCCGCAAGCGACGAGTAGGATGTAGTGGCACTGACTGCGGCGTCTGGTTACAATTGGGTCACAGGTCGGCCACTGATCTATCACAAACACGATCCGCGGCAAGATCCTGACGTGGTGGAGGATCGCGAGGAGATACTTTCTTACCAGTACGTCTCTTCGTAAGCAGTCACACCCATCTACAGCATTCACACTGCGACCACACATGTCTTACCTACAACTGAATCAAGAACGGCCGCGCTGTGTCATGGACACAAAACCCGCGCGCTGTAGCGACCTGGTTCGGCGTACGGGCGAAACGATACTGCGTTTCTGTTTTCGAGAAACAAGGTAGGATATGGAGACCTTTGCATATCCAAAATAAAGGCGGCAATGGGGGGATACGCGGCCGGAGGTTGTAATTCAGGCGGGAAGACAGAGCGCTTGAGCGTTGCCTGTTATGAGTCTCCACATGCAAGTGGTCATCGTGTCATTGCCAATCCTCTGCGCCTTTACGTCGCCGCTTTTATCATATCACAAGACATCGGCTTTGCATAAAAATACCCCTTGAACCCGTCCTCGCAAACGCGGTAGCCCAGGGTAAAATGATCGAACTCGCACACCGCCCTCTTTTCTGCTGAAGGATAGAAAGGAAACAGGGGGCTGGAGCGAACGTGTGGCATGGGATTGGACCGGGTTATCGTCGGGAAGACCTGACCACCTAGCGACGATTCTTTTGGGGGGTAGGTTGGCAGTTCCGGCTGGCATCCCAACGCGGTAATAATTAGCCTAGGGAATTGATCTCGCTCTAGGAGAACGGCAAGTCGGCACCGCATCGAGTCGAACGGCCCCGGTGCCCCGCGCGACATTTGCGCCCTGGCTCGCCAAGATGTGTTTTAAGACTTGGGAATATGGGTTTTGTGCTCAAGACTCTTCAGAGACGCCTGTCCCGTTGTAATTACCGTGAACACGAATCGAACGGAAGAAGGACCGCGCACTCGCTAGTGCTTGCTGGGTTGGGCCTCGTGGCAGCCAAGACAAAGGAGAGTACAATGCAGTACGAGTGTTCCCATAACACACAGAGAAATTGGCCGATGAAACCGCTTTATCCCAGCTAGGTCTAACTAGTTGACCAAAAGTCGGTGCGCCATGGATAGCCCCTGTGAGAGACCGAGGCACTCTTGGTGGGTCATTGTCGTTAAGACTACCGGCATTTCTTTGGCGAGTAATATCTGAGAAAGTATGTCGAGGGAGAGAAAGAAACACGCGTTATGGACAGACGCAGCGTGAAACGAGGCTACAGGCTATAAAATAGAAAGTGGCGGTGGTCAATAGATGGCATGATGAACAACGTGATATGACAGGCCTCTGAGCGTGACAACTTGGGCGATGATGCTGATCGAGAATGGGAAATCCACGGGAATTAACGCAGAAAGTATGCTCAGAGGTCCGTGAAGGAAATATCCTTCCGGCCGCCGAGAAGCTGGGAGTGACGAGCATTGTCTACGGCCAACCAAAGATTATAAACCTTGGCACGTTACCCCGGACCCTCTTCACAGATCACGGCCTACCAATGGCGGACACC